CCCTCTCTCTCTCTAGTGAGTGCATGCACCCTTTTGAAAAATTAAAAATAGAAAGGAAACAAACACATAGATATTAAGAAAAGAAGATAAATATTAATTAATTTTAGGGTTAATAATGTAGGGGCATTTTGATTAGTATTCCTAAAAGTAGAGTTAAGTAACTAAAGCTCTTTGTGGTAACTTTATACCCTCAAGAGCAAGGAATTAGGTCTTGTATACTGTCACTAAGTCTGGGGAATAATAATTAGAATAATAATAATTAAAATGATAATTTAGAAACCTCCCAGCAAGATGAGTTACAATAAAAGATTTACTGCTGAAAGGAGAACCTTACTTACAAAATTAAGTTACCCCAAGACCAGTAGATGGCATGGAGGTTGAGGCAACTGGATCCCACATGGCCAATTACACAGTTCAACCCCAGACCTGGTGACTTGAAAATCACACCGGGTATATGTGTGCATGTGCCCAAAGGGAGAGTGGAGGAGATAGTACTGTGGTGTGGCCATCGCCCCAAGGAGTGATTTCTCACTTTCTATCTCTCTGTCTCTCTGGCAAGCACATGCACCCTATGAAAACAAAATAAAACAAAACATTAAGCTATCCCAACTATGCTGAAAAGGGAGGTGATTTTATACTGCCTTTTTAGGAAAGTTTTTTTGGTGAAGCTGTATTTAATGAGGAATTCTATTTAAACAACTCACCGCATTCCCAAATCATTCTATACAATCAAAGTATTACTGTAATGTGAAATCATTCACAGTTTTGACTGTAAACATAGATGGCTGCACCAATACAGAAATAGTTAAGTAATCAAAGCCAGCTGGACTAAAATAGAACATTACAGCAGGAGGAAACATTAGAAATAACTTGGTCCCCACACTTTATATTGGAGAAAGATTAGTCACCTTAAAAACACACAGGTAATTATGTTAATGACTGGCTTTTAACCAAAACTGAAATATCCCCATTTGATGATCTGCCCCTGTCAGTCAGCCTAGTTATTAAGAGTAGAGGTCTGGAGTCAGGCCAACTTGGGTCTGAATATTAGTCCTTGAATTTGCCAAGGGTGATCCTAGGCTTTGATGATAGAGCCTATTCAAAGACAAAATATTGCATGGGCATTACTTCAAAGGTACAGACCCTAAGGAGCTTCATATATCGTGAGGGCAACTGATCATGTTGCTCTGATAAAACAGAACTGAGGAGCCAGCAGGTAGCATGGTGGTTAAGGTTCTGGACTCCCACATGGTCTACAACAGTTCAAGTCTTGGACCTAGCAGCTTAAAAATCACACCAGGCACTTGTGTGTGTGTATAAAATCCTGAGAAAAGAATAGAGGGGATTGTAGCATGGCCGTCCCCCTGGGGGGTGATTTCTAACCTTCTCTCTCTCCAGGGATTTCACGTGCCCTATGGCAAAAACCTTAAAAGACAAACAAACAGAACTGAGACAAAACTGCAGAGTTCATTAATCCTTTTCCAGAAGTAGAAGATTGAGAGGAAAGGCCTGCACTGCAGAGACCTTCCCAAAGTTAGCAGCCATCTTGGCTTGTGGGCCAAATGGCCCAGTGGAATTGGGCCATGCAGAGGTGCCCTTTATCCCAGGACCTACAGAGATGACTGGTGTGGCATTTGACTGGTATTCCTTCTTTTAATGACCAGTCTAAAAATAGCAAAAATGGTGTCTATTCCTAAATGTGATTGAATTCTGGAGCCAAACTATAGGCTTTCCTTAATGCTATTTGCACCTGAGCATAGACACTTTCTATCTAATAGACTAATAGAACTCACCATAACTGCCTGCTATGGGAATGAAAGGCATAAAGTATGACAGTGCATAGTAAGATGCTTGATGCATGTTAGACACCCAACAAATGGTGCTTCAACTATTATTCAGCTATAATGCAATGGTAGATTTGACATAGTTTTGGGTTTTTTTGTTTGTTTCTGTTTATTTTTTTAAAGAGAAATTTTGCTATAGGGTGTGTGTGTGCTCACTAGATATAGTTTTGTTTTTTTGTTTGTTTGTTTCTGTTTATTTTTTAAAGAGAAATTTTGCTGTAGGGTGTGTGTGTGTGCTCACTAGAGAGACAGAAACTGAGAAATCACCCCCCCCCCCCACCCCCGGGGATGGCCACACCACAGTCCTTTCTTTTCCATTCTCATGGGATCATGGGCATGCATGCACATGTATCTAGCTCGAGTACCAAGTCACTGGGTCCGGGACTCTAACAATGGTGGACTACATGGGGGTCCAGTGATGCAACCGTTATGCCATCATCTGGTCCTGACATAGATGTTTTTAAAGAACCTCAATCATTGTTTGATTTAGACAGATTTTTCTTTATAAAGTATATTATTCAGGAACCAGCAGTTAGTGTAATGGCTATGTCGCTGGACTCTCATGTAGTTGACTGAGGGTTGCGTCCTGGACCCTGTGGCTTAAACTCACGCCGGGTGCGTGTGCATGCTTGCCCAAGATCCCGAGAGGAGAATGGAGAAGGGATTGCGGCGTGGTCATTCCCCCTGGGGGTGATTTCTCGCTTTCTATCTCTCTGTCTCTGTCTGTCTGGCGAGCGCACGCACCCTATAGCAAAAACCTCTAAAAAAAAAAAAAAGTATATTATTCAAAAGTGATAACTTTGGTGAAAGTGCTGGACAACAGAAAAAAATTGATGAAGACTTACTACTTATGCACTGAATCTAGTCGGGACTTATTATTTCATAAGAAGACAAATATTAGGTGACTTCTGGAAGTTGGGAAAATGGAATTAAAGCATGACTTGACTGGTGCATGCTTAAGTTTTTTCATAATATGCATTTCCATGAATGTTTGAATATCCCTTGTATGTGACTGGATGATAATTTTTTTAGTCTGGTCTTTGGGTTAGAAGACCTAAGACCAAGCTTCTGCTCTATCATTTAACAAAAGGTGTTAATGAGTAAATTAGCAGACCTTACTGAGCCTCTGGCTCCCCGTGTTTAAAATGAGTATGATAATAATACCTTCTCAGTTGGTGCTGGTGGAGCTCGAGGTAGAGAAAGTATACGTGAACAGGCAAAGAGCTGTGTTGGAGATGACCTCTTAAGAGTAGCATCTTAAGGATATTGTGTTTCTCTCTTTCCAGTTTTCATCTTGCTGCTGCAAAAGGACATGTGGAATGCCTCAGGGTCATGGTTACACATGGTGTGGATGTGACAGCCCAAGATACTACTGGTATGTGGTTTTTAATTTCTTAAGTCAAAACAGTCCGACACAAAAGTAGGTATCATAACGATGATAGATATTCACTGTGAACATTGTAGAGTCTGCAGATAAGCCAAAAGAAGAAAATGAATCACCTCTAGTGACTAGGTTCTGGCATGGTGTCATCATTTGTGCCTTTACAACTATTTTTCATTTTATCATAATTTGTCAGCAGGGGTCCGTATGCTTCTTATTCCCCATTTTAAAAATTCACGGGGCCAGTAGGTGGCATGGTGGTTGAGGCACGGGACTCCCGCATGGCCGACTGCAATTCAAGTCCTGGACTTGGTGGCTTGTTTTCTCACTTTCTTTCTCTCAGTCTCTCTTTGTCTCTAGTGTGTGTATGTACCCTATGGCAAATTAATAATAGTAATAAGTGAAATTAAATAAATAATTCTTTTTTAAAAATTCTTTTCTAAGATTGTATGTATGGACCAAATAATATTCCCCAAGGTTTGCTTTTTTTTTTTTTTCTTTTTTTTGCCATAGGGGGGGCACTCACCAGACAGACAAAGTCAGAGAGACAGAAAGCGAGAAATCACCCCCCAGGGTGGATGGCCACACCACAATCCCTTCTCCATTTTACTCTCAGGATTGTGGGCACACATGCACACGCACCTGGGGTGAGTTTTGAGCCACCGGGTCTAGGACGTGAACCACGGTCGACTACATGGGAGTCCAGCGACATAGCCATTACACCAACTGCTGGTCCCCAAGGTTTGCTTTAATGAATCATAGTGTAGAGTGATAAGTGAAGCGATTTAGGAGCTCATTTCATTAACCAGCTGAGATAGGTCCTATGGACCAAAGTCATGGTCTTCATCTGGACAAGATGCACATGACTTTCATCCCTTACTGCCCTTCAGTGTATCCAAGTCACCTGACAACTTGAAGGAAAGGAGGAGGAGATGGGAAAATAAATGATGTTACACACATACCTCACCCACTTTTTTAGTTTGCTATAGGGCATGCACTTGCTAGGGGAGAGAGAGAGAGAGAGAGAGAGAGAGAGAGAGAGGTGAAAAATCACCCACCCCCACCCCCAAGGGAATGGCATGCTGCAATCCTTTCTTCTCCATTTTCCTCTCAGGATTTCGAGCATATATGCACATTCACCCAGCATGTTTTTCAAACTCCCGGGTTAGAGACTCAAACTATGTAGTGTCCAGATGGGATCCAGCCAACTTAATCACCATCACTGGCTAGCCAGCCTCACACACTCACACATTTGTACTTAGGTTCTACCCTGGGAGATTTAGATTCCTCTGTTTGTTGGTTGCCAGTCAACTGTTCGGTTTGTTTTTTGTTTTGTTTTGTTTGTTTGTTTGTTTTTAAGATTTTTTAAGTTCTCCTAGTGATTTTGTTTGTTTATTTGGGAGAGTTTTTTTGTTTTGTTTTGTTTTTTTGCTATAGATCATGTGTGCTCTCCAGAAAGAGAGACAGAGAGACAGAAAGTGATAAATCACCCCCCAGGGGGATGGCCACACTGCAATCCCTTTTCCTCCATTCTTTTCTTAGGATCTTGGGCACGCACGCACACGCACTTGGCGTGAATTTAAGCCACTGGGTCCGGGACTTGAACTGCAGTCGACTACATGGGAGCCCAGTGACATTGCCATTAGGTCAACTGCTGGTCCCCCTCCTGGTGATTTATATAAAGCCAGTGTTGACAAATGATGAACAAGGCAAAGGACAGAAGAGGTAGTAGTCTTTTGTAGACATTCTCCTGCAAGAAGGAGCCCAGAGCCCTTGGGATTTTTCCCTGTTGGCTACGCCAGAGAAACAAAGCAAATATAGATGGCTTTCTTTTTTTTTTTTTTTTTTGGTGAGAGGTTTTTTGCTATAGGGTGCGTGCGCTCGCCAGACAGACAGAGAGAGACAGAGAGATAGAAAGCAGGAAATCACCCCCCAGGGGGGATGGCCACGCCGCAATCCCTTCTCCTCCATTCTCCTCTCGGGATCTTGGGCACGTACGCACACGCGCCCGGCGTGAGTTTAAGCCACCGGGTCCGGGACTCGAACCGCGGTCGACTACATGGGAGTCCAGCGACATAGCCATTACGCTAACTGCTGGTCCCAGATGGCTTTCATTTTTTTATTGCACTTGAAAATCTTTGACTTTTAAACAGCTTTGGTTGGCTTTTACTGCAATACAAAATTTGCCTAACCCCATAGTCTTTGGACATTTTGTTAGCCCATAATGGGTCCCTTTCCTTCTCCTAGAACTGGCCTCTTTAGTGTAGTCATCTCAGGGTGTCAGTCAGGTATGGTAAGAATGCTTTTATTACTAAAAATAGGGTTGGAAACTTAGGTTTTGAAATTGTTTTCGAGGTCTTTGGCACTTCAAAAAAAATAATCTCAGGGGTTGGGAATCTTTATCTTTTGAATAGTTATTTTGTTTGCTGTTTTTTGGTGGTTTTTATTTATTTATTTTTTTTCATTTTATGATAAGCCAAGAACTACTTGAAGTCAAATCAGGTAGATGATATGTCAAGCTGGTAAAAACCATTTTTGGTTAAAAAATTGAGTGGCTGAGGGAAGTGATTGAAGTAACAGAATGATTTTCCTGAGCAGTTTCACAGAGTTCCAGAAATATTTTGAGAAATGGCAATACCAATAGAAGAAGGAATTATTTTCTTAAATAACTACCTTGAGGGAAACATTAATTTATGTTACACTAATTAAAGTCATTTTTCATCTAAGGACCCACTTACTTTGTTTATTCTTTTTTGTTTGTTTCTTTCTGTAGAGAGAGGTTTTTTTTTATTTTTTAAAGGCACATGTGCTTGCTGGAGAGACAGAGAGAAATCATATCCTAGTGGGGATGGCCATGCCACAATCCCTTCTCCTCCATTCTCCTCTTGAGATTTTGGGCACACATATATATGCCCCCGGCACTTGAACCATGGTCTACTATGGGGGGAGTCTAGTGACACAACCATTATGCCATCTTCTGTCCCCAACTTTGTTTGTTCTTAAATTTTATTTTCATAGTGTAATATGATGGTCTAAAGTACCCCTAATGAACTGTACTTATTACTCTTTTCTATTTGGGATTTTCTGCCTATACACATATGCACCCAGTGTGATTTTCAAGCTGTCAAGTCTGGGACTTGAACGGCAGTCATACATGTGGGAGTCTAGCACCTGAACCACCATGCCATTTGTTGGGTCATCTCTTTTTAGTATAGGGAAAAATAAGTTTCTTTAATATATGCTCATTGTCAAAAACTTAGGGAATACAAATTATAAAGAAGACATAACTTGGCAGTGCTTTTACTCCTACCAGAAAAAAAAAATTTTTGGTCACAATTTTGCTATTTCATTTCAGATTTTCTCTAGCATTTTTTCATATAGCTGAGATGACATTATATAATAAAGTCTCTATCCTGCTTTCTTCTTTACTAGCCTACCAGTGTGATTCCTCCACTGAAGCATAGCTTTTTGTGGCCATATAACACCATGTGGGTAGAATTTGTGTTTACCATCAAATGCAGGTCAAGGCAGGAGACTCCAGCACACTTGCTTGTGAGCTGAGAGAGCACAGTCCTCCAGGAAGTAACACCAGTGGGGGGCGTGGTCTGCAAAACTATTCTGGATGCTTCTCAGGGCTGGTCAGTGGAACTGATTGCAGTGGGTGAAACCCAAGCCCTTGTGGCCCCGAGACATTTTCCAGCTCTCCCATGGGTTGACAGTGTCTCAGAGCCACCAGTCACCTCCTAACATTTTTAGTAGTGAGGTCAGCAGTTTTGTCCTCAGGCTCTATTGTTCTGCTTTGCTGTGAGCAAGGCACCAGCTTCTTCCCATGATTTCTTGAAAATATGCAGAGAGAACAGAGAAACAAAAGCTGCGTGGAAAAATGTTGTGGAATTTCTGTTGTGCTATCTAGGATTCTCAAGCTTTCTTCTATCATAGCAAACGAGAAGTTATGGTGGCTTTTACAGCCCATGACTTTCTTATTCAAGTTGGCTATGAAGTCCACCTGACTTTGCTTCTCAATAAAACATATCTGGGAAATAGCAGTTGGCATAATGGCTATGTTGCTGGACTCCCATGTAGTCAACCGCAGTTCGAGTCCTGGATCCAGTTGTTTAAACACGCTGGGCACGTGTACATGCATGCCCAAGATCCTGAGAGGAGAAAGGAGGAGACGGGATTGCAGCGTAGCCATCTCCCCAAGGAGTGATTTTTCACTTTCTGTCTCTCTCTGTCTTTCTGGAGAGCGCACACACCCTATAGCAAAAAAACCTCTCCAAAAAAAGAAAAGAAAACATATCTGAATACAAAAAAAGGACAAGAACATTAGCCACTGAGCTTTAGTGGTCATCATTAATCTACAACCATTTTCATGATGGTTTGGGATTAATTGAATGACTCTCCTTTTATGGATGTTTTTTCAGTGAACCTTCCTTAAATATTGCCACATTTTTGGGACCAGCAGTTGGCATAATGGCTATGTTGCTGGACTCCCATGTAGCTGACTGCGGTTTGAATACCAGACCCGGTGGATTAAACTCACGCCGGACACGTGTGCGTGCGTGCCCAAGATCCTGAGAGGAGAATGGAGGAGAAGGGATTGCAATCCTGAGAGGAGAATGGAGGAGAAGGGATTGCAGTGTGGCCATCCCCCCAGGAGGTGATTTCTCACTTTCTGTCTCTCTATCTCTCTCTGTCTTCCTGGCGAGCGCACTTGCCCTATAGCAAAAAAAACAAAAAAACATATATATGTGTGTGTGTGTGTGTGTGTGTGCTCTCCACCCAAAATACATATATATATATATATATATGTGTGTGTGTGTGTGTGTGTGTGTGTGTGTGTGCATGTGTGTGTATAGCCACATTTTTACTGGGGTACAATCATCTTCAATCCCAAGTTCCAGTGAGAATGGTACAGAGATCTGTTACTATAAATCATACTGCTTTATAGAGTTTCTGAAAAACCTCCTCTCAAAATGTATTTCACTTACTTC